CTACTAAAAGGAAAGTCTAAAGCACTAATGCATTCCTTGAAGAACAAATGGAAGACAAAACATAACATGGAAAATAAGGCATATAGTAGCTAGAACAATTAGCAATAATGTTGAAGGATTATAAACTACAATGCATGATAACAGCTATTATTCTGTTTCCCTTTTATAGATAGATCAAAAGCCAAGCTTTCCAACAATTCACGTCCTAGACCAAGTGTAGCAACTTAAACTTTCTTAGTTTATCAAAATTACCGTACAAATTATGTAAATTATACCATAATTACATTCCCTGCACTAGAGAAAATTGAAAAGATTGCGCAAGACAGGCAGATTTTGCAAAATATATAGCATTTAAGAGTATCAAAAAGCATTTGGTGGTTGTCCAAAGTCCACAACATGGAACAAATATGAATAAGTTACCTGTGGATAAGCTATAATACTTTTAGGTGCAACTAAGCAAGCTGCTCTAGAGAAAGAATCTTCAGCATACTGCCTAAGAAAAGAAAAACAGTTGCTGTGTGTGTGAGGTGATTCAAAGGCCTGCAACAAGAGGAAAGATGAAATTTTCATTAAATATGATAGGGAAACTTTTTCCTTTTAAAATGGTTGAAATATACATTAGATAGCCATTTAGTTCCTATTTCTTGAACCAAATGTAATCATATGTAGACAGTTTTGAAATAATACCTTGTCAATATTGACAACCGGAGCATATTTATCAGTCTGGGTCTTCTCCTTATCAAGAAGTAAGGAGACTCTAGGATCCACTTTTGAAGTCTCATGCCATGATTTTACAGTTGATTCTACTGTTTCAACAAGAAAAGAAAACATGTCTTTCCAAGAATTTTCAGCTACGTACTTTTCAGACTGCAAAGAGAAAGGCCATTTTTTCATCATGTACGCTGAAAAAAAAAACTACTAATTATATCAAAATTTTTATATAAGCCCATAAAAATGTTACTAAAATAGTCTTAGCTAGCTGACAACATTTGCAAATGAGAAAAGAAAACAGAACCCGTAATCAAACCACGGATCAATATACGAATAAAGAAAAGACCAGACCAAGTAAATTTTATATACACGTAAAATACAAACACATACGCTTTTGCTCAAGGAACTCACCATTTCAGATTTCAATGTTTCCAAGCTTTTTGCTATATCTACATTGGATCGCAAGTTCTGCACTTCTTCGGCTCGCTTTTTATCTTTTGCAAGCTGGGAAAGCCTCTTAATTTTTCTTGATACTTCTGCACTTTGTGGGTTGTATTGCAAAGATCTTTCGAAGGCAGCTAAAGCCTATAACAATTAAGTATTTGAAATATCAGTATCATAAGCAAATATAGCATTGTCTATTTATCAACGTTTAAGGAGGGAGATAGGAACTTACATCGTCATATCGTTCCATTGCCTCCAAAATGCATCCTTTCCGAAAATATCCCTGAAATATAATCAAAACACACAAATTGAACAGTTCTAATTCAATATGACTATCTGAATGCAATCGCCCTACACCCATTACCACCCTTCAAACAAAGGTACAATACGATACTAATACCTTTTCCCATTGAGGATTCAATGTGATTGTTGTCTCGGCATCAGCCAGTGCTTTGTTAAGTTTAACCAAATTTAAAAATGCTGCTGCTCGATTGCTGGTCCAATAAAAGATAAGCATATTTAAACTACAAGTCAATGCCAAAAAAGAAGGGGGGAGGGGACATAGAGAAGGAATGATTTTCATTTATATTATAGCTCTAAATGACCATATACCAATAGAGCATTTGAGCATGTTCAAGAAATTAATAAACACTACCATCATGGAATCATTCAAGCAATTGAACGAAGTTTCAAACAACAATCAGTCATAATCCATAAAGAGACTAATAAACATCAATTCCAGATTGCATTCGAAAAGACTCGAACAAAAAAAAGTGAGCAATTTTACAACCAACCCAAGATTGCATTTTGACAATAAAGCTAAATAAACCTCAAGGAACCAAACCGAAAGTGATTTAAAAAAAATACCTATAAAGAGTGGGATTTGAAGGGTCTTGTTTAATGGCCTGAGTGTAAAGAGCAGCAGCTTTGAGGTAGTTTCCAGCCTTGAAAAACTCGTTGCCTTTATCCTTCAATGATATCTCCTGAGGCACTCCTTTAACAGATCCTACCTCTGCTTCTGCCATACTATGTTTTGAGCTAGTTTTCTGTATTTGGAGTACTTGGGGTTAATGGGATAGTGAAGCTTTTCTTCTTGATGGGAATGTTTTTGGAGGTATTTAACAGCGTTAGAAAACGATGGGCTTTGGTGATTTTAGAGTAGAAAGGAAATCAGATTGGTTTCTGATAATGAAAACCTAGGCACAGTATAAGAATCTCTAATACTTAATTAGGGTTTGTTCTCTTTTTATCTTTTTTTTTTCTATAGTCACCGTTATTCTCTTTTTTTTTTTCTTTAATTTTATGATCAACAGTCAACACTGATCTTGATATATTATAGCGTATATTTTTTTTTATTCTTAATAATTTTATCTTTTGGACCCGTATTTTTTTAACCTTCATCGTATGTTTTTTTTTTATAACACATTTTTGATTGTTTGATCGTTGTTTTCGTTTATTTTTTTGCTGGCCTGGATTTGACATCGTCATAACTGATTAAGATGTCACTTATTTATTATCATGGTGATCTTTCCTACTTTGGACCCTCGGATTGAATTTGGATATGTGATTTGCATTCGTGAATAATATTTTCATATCGCTCGATTCTGATTTATGGTATGTCAGTGATCTTTCAATAGTTTTTTTATTTGTTGTTCGTTTACCGATGCAGTTAGATCTATTCGTATTTATCTCTTGTTCGATTTATTTGGTTAGATTTTTTACATTTTTCTTGTATGATCCTTATGTGATTTTAAGTGACTAGTTTTATTGTGTTTCGAAAAATATTATTATTATATATCTAGTTTACAATTATAGTTGTAAACATTCATTGTGACTTAGATATTTATTTAATGTTTTAATCATCCATCATTAGATTTGATCATTAACTGAATTGAAATAGTAAACTGACATGATATAATAACATCTTTAAATTTATATATTCTATCAAATTAATCATAATTAGAAATTATTCAAAAAAATCTTATCAATTTGGTCTAATGTAAAATCCCACTCTCAAATCTCAATATTCCCCGACATCCAGTTCCCAATGTCATCACTACCCATTTGCTCAACCGCCGTCACCGCCTTTCCACGTCGATTGCGCGTGTGATAAAGATGAAGTCTTACAACCACCACGAGCTATGAGACGATCACCAACAAGTTCATCGATAAGAGCAGACAAATTTGGCGCAACAATGTTCGTCGTTCTCTTTAAATAATCATATAGCTTAGCCTGATATTCAACAAGGTTGAGAATTTGATCACATAGATCTTTTATATTCATAAGATCAAGATTATGAACAATGAGCCTAAATCATTACCAATATCATATCCGAAAAGATTTTTATCAGACTGGCAACTGACGATGGACAGGAGTTAACCGGCGATGATGACGTTGAGGGAATGGGTGTTGGGGGAAATTAGGTTTTGAGAAAGGGATTTTACGTTACAACAAATTGATAGGATTTTAAATATAGAAGGTTTTTTGAATTATTTAAAATTATGATCATTTTGATAAAATTTGCAAATTCCGAGTATTAAAATTATTATTATACCCTATCACATTAAGACAATTGTCGAACTTAACAATAAGGTGGCGTTTGGTTCGCTAGAATGTTTTTGAGTAAATTAAAATCTGTTAAGGAATTGAAATCTGTAAGAATTGAAAACTGAATCTGAAACCTGTTTGGTTGGCAGGAAATTGAATTGGAATCCAATTCCGTATTCTATTTGGTTCGTAGACATGTAAGATGAATTTGATTTCAGTAATGTAAAATGATAAAATTGACCTTCTTATTTTTTTTTTGCTTAATTTTAGTTTGTTTTATAACTTACATATAACAATATATTATAAAAATTTAAAAAAAAATATTATTTTTTTTCATTTTATTGATTGATTATTCATTTTAATAAATTATAAAAATCATACTAATAAACATCATAAGTTAAAATTATCCCAATTAGGGATGGCCATGGGTCTGGTTGGGTCGGTTTTTGGTCCATCCGACCCGACCCAACCGACCCAACCCGAGAACAAGGGAACCTCCACCCGAGACCCGACCCGAATATATGAATTAGAAACCCGACCCAAAATAATAAAAAAATTATTGTATTCAATAAAAACAGTGACTTAATTGAAAAAAATTATATATAGAGGGTATTATTGTAATTATTCCTAAATATATAAGGTAAAATTATATATTTTTTCGAGTCGGGTCGGGTATTTTCACCATAAACCCGAATCCGACCCGAATATCACACTTTAAAAAAATCCGACCCGACCTAAATATCACACTTAAAAAAACCTGCCCCACCCCGAATATCAAACTTAAAAAAACCCGACCCGAACCCGAAATTTTAAACAAAAAATCCGACCTGAATACCAAAAGATTGATGAGGGTAGTATGGACAAATTTCACATTACCTCCTCCAAAGGATTTCAATTCCATCATGTTATGGATGAAATTTACTTTCCCTCTCTTGATGGAATTGGATTCCAATTCCCCCTTTGTAAACTTGAACCAAACATGGAAAGTGGTGAAATTGGATTCCAATTCCCCCTAATTTCAAGGGATTCCAGCGAACCAAACGTCACATAAGTGTAACAAACAAAAATGAAACAAAATATTATGTATTATTTTGAAAATAATAATAATAATATGATCGAAATAGAAACAAGAGAATAAATGGATGACTATATAAATAGTTTACCCTACTATTATAAAAGCGCAGGATTCAATTATGTCAAATTAAAAATAGAGGATTAAATCTTAAATGTTAAAGTGATAAAGGGACTAAAACCGAAAATTAACCAAACTGAATTGGCATCTCTGTTCAAAAACCCTCCAAGCGCTTTCGCCGCAGCGTGGTTCAGTTTTTAGTGTTTTAACTTCCGCAGCCTAAGCTTAGAACTGAAGTGAACTGAGAAATGGGAAAGAAGAATAAGAAGAGAGAAGCCGAAACAAATAGCCCAGCTGAAACCCTAACGTATCTCAGTCCCCTCTACGCCGCCGACGGTTCTCACAATAAAAAGAAAAAGCAAAAAACCAAAGCAGAGAAAGTAACCGGCGGCGAAACTACAGATGCCGACGAAATCCCCACCGTCACCGTAGCCATCGCCGGCTCCATCATCGACAACGCTCAATCTCTCGAACTCGCCACTCGTGTAACCAAACAACTCTGTTTTCTCCTCTTTTATTTTGATAAGAACATTTTCATATTTCCTTTTAGTTTTTCCATTTTTTTTAGTTGGCAGGTCAAATTTCTCGTGCTGCAACCATTTTCCGGATTGACGAGGTAGTTTTTAGTTAATTTCTCATTTATTTTATCCTACATTTTAGTCTCTAAGTAGTTAATTAGATAGATTAATTCAGTGGTTTGTATCAGCAGGTTGTGGTGTTTGATAATAAGAGTAGTTTGAGGAATAATGGTGCTTTTTCTAATCAAAATAGTTCCAATGAAATCGATAGAGGGGCGCCTTTTCTTGTTAGGATCTTGCAGTACCTTGAGACGCCACAATATCTGAGAAAAACACTTTTCCCTAAGCATAATACCCTCAGATATGTGGTGAGTATCAAATTCGCAGTTTTGATATTTTTTTCTTTTTTTCTTTTTGCTGCTGCTGCTGTTTTTATTTTGATGGAAGCAAATTTAAAGTTTATTTTTACATTTATTTGCATATTACAGGGAATGTTGCCTCCGGTTGATGCTCCACATCATTTGCGCAAGCATGAATGGGCTTCCTATCGGGAAGGTAAAGTTTAGCTGCTGCCTTTTGATCACTCGTTCGTTTGGGTTTTTTTGGCTAATTAGCTTACACTATCAAGTAAACTTAGCTCGTCTACGATCATGTTTGTTATAGATTTCTTGCAAGGTTTATAATCTTTTTTGAATGATTACAAGGTCTATAATTGTTAAAAAGTGAATTGTAGGGAAGGATAGATATGCACTGCTAAGCATGCATTTTAAATGTAAAGGGATTCAGATGTAATTCCTATGGGAAATTGATGGAAACTGAGGTTACTGGTTTTTGTGAAGAAGTGATAAGTTTACGTTAGGTTCATGATTGTAAAGAACTTGAGTGTGGTTTCATGCGGAATCTTAGCAATATGTTGCCTGCATGAAGATGTGCTTCATCTGATTAATCATTAGCGTGAACTGAATTTTTGTCTAACTTCATTTGTTGTGATAACTTTATAGGTGTCACACTTGAGGAAAATCCCACAAGCTCTGTGGGAACAATGGTTGATGTAGGGTTAGATAAGGTAAGCCCATTCTTGTTTGAGTGCGTCTTACTTAAGCCTGCTGCCTGCATAACTTCCTTTTTCATAATTGTCGAATTTTGAAATAGAATGCTTTCTCATATATTTATTTATCAACATTATGTGTATATATACAAGTATAAAGGTTCTATAAGATGTAAAGTAATATCCTATATTAACTATGTAATATCCTACATTAAATACAATATATATTAATCCTAAGATTTATCCTACAAATATGTAACACTCCCCCTCAAATTGGAGAATAGATATTAATCGCGCCAACTTATTTCATTGTTCTTTATGCAGAATGTTGTGGTTGATCAAGCACTTGAGCCTGGAATACGAGTCACTGTTGCAATGGGAACTAACCAAAACATGGATTATGGTAATAAAAATTCAGATATCAAGTAATGTTTCATTGTCATGTAATTTATCGAGTGTGAAAATTTAAACCTAATTCAACATATAGGTTTTAAGTTGATTTATTTCTTTGTCCTACTGTTACTGGATAATGCAAATTTAACATGCCTTTGCTGCATTCATAATGGAATGACTTGATTTTTTTATTTTGCGTTTAGTGGATGTTCAATAATGAAATAAAATTGTCTTCCTGGATGGACAGTTTCTCTTGCCTTATTATAGGGGAAAAAAACTTTTATTTGGACTTAAGATGGTGCAACATTTTTTAAATTTGTCTACATTCCTTAAGTACGAGTGTTGATGCCGATGAAAATATGTTAGCTTATAAAGATGTTTCTTTAGATTTACCTCGACAGGTTGTCTCCTCTTCCAAGCCAAGGAAAGACACAGGTACATACTGGGGGTATAAAGTTCGGTATGCTTCCAATATCAGTTCAGTATTCTCGGCTTGTCCATACAAGGTACACATACTTTGATAATATAGTTTTAACTCACTGCCTGTTCCCTTCTAATTTCTTCTTTTTGTACAACCACTAACGGCAGGATAGCTTCTATAATGTCATTGCAGGGTGGATATGATCACTTGATTGGTACATCAGAGCATGGACAAGTTGTTAATTCATCACAGCTTAATTTACCTGCCTTTAGGTATACTTTTGTTCATATTAGGTCCCTTAATTGTGACTAACTATTGGTTCATTTCATTTGTCTATAAAACTCGTTATTTTATAATTCATTAATTTGTTTGTCTCCGTTGCTTGACGATTAATTAATTACACACACAATCATAGAGTGGTTTCGTGCCACGATACATCTCGACTTTGATTGTATTGTAATATGACAGGCATTTATTACTTGCTTTTGGTGGACTTGCTGGGTTGGAAAAGAGTGTAGATGAAGATCATAATTTAAAGGTATAATTGGAAGACGGTTAGTCTCAGTTTTGTCCTTGCGATGCACAGTACCGTCTCATTTTCTACATATACAAGGAACTGCCCTTTAATAAACATTTGCACTTAAGATTTTGGTTCAAAATAAGGTGAATTGTGCAATATATCAACTGAGCAAGTTTTTCTTTGGTTCAGGGAAAAAATGTGTGTGACATATTCAACTTGTATTTGAACACGTGTCCGCATCAAGGGAGTCGAACAATTCGAACAGAGGTATTCTTTGTGTAATTGTTCATGTATTCTTAAATTCATGTTGTCACCGTCAATGTTTCTTTTTTTCTTTTTTTTAATAATCTTCACAAAACAGGAAGCACTCTTGATATCACTCCAATACTTCCAAGAACCAATAACTCGAGCAATGCAAAGAGATGCAAGCTGAAGATAACTTGGGACTATCAAATATGTTGAACCATCGAGTTGTTTTTTCACATCGTCGGGAACAGATCGAAGAATATTTCTGTGTCTGTTTGCCTCCTAGGCCCTTATTTCAGATGCCTTTCTTTTATAGTCGGGATTGGACAACGCAACAAAATAGGTTCTCTCTTCCCATTATTATATTATAGATAGAGGAGATTTCAACAAAGCAAGTCTGATGATCATTAGCTGCACAAGCAACTCATTTTTTCATTGACATAATTTATATGCTAAACAAAGAACCTAGATTGAGATACTGTTAGGGATACCCATCCCAGTGAGTCCACCCTCTCGAGTGTATTCCGATGTATTAGGATACAATAACGTGTATGGCATCTTCACAGGTCCGGTTCGGTTCTTCAGGCTACAGTCATTGTTTCTGGCTATAATGTTATTTTCGATTTCGACCAGCTTATCCCTAAATCTTTCAAATGCAGCTAATGGTTCTTCATCCAGAGTCTACTCAGGTGTATCCTGTTAACCAAGGTATATCTAATCGGCTGAATGCTAAGTCAGGGTTTTTCTCGAGCTCGATGTATTCATTGGTGCCTGGTTCTGGCATGAACCAATGGCTGACAGTCGGCCTGTTAGGGAGGTAACCAGCGTAAGGGTATTGGTCAAAATTAACTGCTGCATGGAGAGCTGAAGCCATCCATATGATGGTTGTGCATACTCGAATGAGATTGTGTATTGTTTTCATCTTGGGCCACCACTGTTCATCCTTCAAGTCACCGTGGCCTTCGTTTCGTATCTCTTCCCACCATGATTGGAGTTCGTTGTCCGTTTTCACTGCTTTATCTGATGGGTAGTAGAAACAACAGTACTCAGTACCCGGCTGACCAGATTTCTAACCCATCAACTGCATAAGGTTAATCCTTTATCACAAGGCTAATGTGATTGGGAGACCTCAAAACCAGATTTCTAACCCACCAACCGCATAAGGTTAATCCTTTATCACAAGGCTAATGTGATTGGGAGACCTCAAATCCTTCACAGCCATTCCTCTGCAATAGATTTAAAAAGAACAGCAGGATCGATTAAATTTCATATCGGTAACGGTCCAAGGGTAAATCGTATCAAATATCTCTAAATCCGAGGTCATGTGTGGCTTACCTCTTAAGCAGATCAGCAGACAAAGCCTGCTCGGTGAAATCCCAACTCTTGTAAACAGCAGACGACATTTTGAGTGCATATTTACTTGGATACACAGTCGACTCAACTATCCCATTAGCATTGATGAGGAGCTGACGAGCCATGGCATTAATGTTCATCGTATTACGGAAGTGAGATTGCAAAAGCTTATAATCAGGTGGACGACGCTCAGTTGTCGATTACTAGCGATCACAAATGGTTCAACAACAGCATGTGTGTTTAACCCCAAAAAAAACATTTTTAATCATGTAAACGATAGACAAGGTTTTCAGTCAGTTTGCCATTTATGGAGGCATTGGCATTTCAGCAATCATACCAATGAGAAATGAGCTGATGGTACCCTGAGTCGTTAACTGCAACATAAACTTTGGCCAACTGCCAGACCGAACCTTCGATGCCGCCCTCTGCTGGAATGAAGACCTTGCTGTCAGCATCGTATTTGTCCCCTTGTGGATGCGGCAAGCTCAACTCGTTCGCCAACGGCTTCAGCGTGTCATCGTCTTGCAAAAAGAATAGTGTTCGAGTGGCGTAAGTCTTTGTGCCAGTCGAATTTATCCTCCGCAGGTATGGCATCAATCCATCGTTATGGTCCAATATAAACAATTTGTTTCTATCTAGAGCCTGGATTGAATATGAACGAAGAAAACAACGGAAAAAAACCCATTAGTATTACGATATCGCTGCAATCTATTCAAATCGGGCTAATGGTACTTTGCTGGTTTCCATATACTTCACGATCAAGCTTGCTGGTTGGGGGAAATTTCTACAGACATGCTGAATTATTGTTGATTATCCAACTTAAGAGATCAAAAGAACATTAATGTGGGAGCTATATTTACTTGAAGCTGACTGATGACAACCGGGTTGACACCGGCTAGAGTTTCTCGAGCAAACTCTTTGTCTGTCCTTCAAGCAGACCTATCCTCTGAAACCTCAAAATAGCAACCGTAACGTCGTGTTGATTTCTCATGCGGATAAAAAGAATGTAACGGGAAAGTTTTATTATATACCTTTGATCACAGCAGGCAATGGGAACTTCATTAATCTCTCACCATCATTGCGAAGAAGTTCCTTAACAACCTGCCAAGGTAAGCAAACCCTAATCTTCTTTAGAGTGTCATTGTTTGGTAGTTTTACACGACCTTCATAGAGATTAAGCACGTCTCGAAACGAGTTGAACTCGTTTATGTTGTCATCGTTTAATGTCGTGCCCAACGTCTGAGACATGGATTTCAGAGAATAAGCCATGAAGTCCCAGAATTTCACCTAGCTGAACCGTTCATCTCGTGGAACGTAAATGTTTAGGCCTTGTAGTGTACACAATCTGCTCTCCGTAGTAGGATCTGGTGGTCAGACATTTTCCATATTTAGTTTTGGCAAAGTACAATGATTGAATTCTGATAAATTAAAGTAGAGAGTCTAACTTCTATGTCAAGTTAAGTGAGGGTTCTGACCTACTTCGTTCTGTTTCCAACCGGTTCTCCCCCTTCTCGGATACGGATACTTAGACGATCCACCAAGAACGGGCGTGCATAGTCTGGACCCTTTTCCGGCTTTCCCAAGTCATTGTAGTAAGCATAATCATATACTCTGTCCCATTCTTTGAGCTATCCTTTTCCATTTCCTCTGAGATTTTCGAGTTCTTCCTCTCTATACTTGAGTAAGGCTTCAGGTGTTTCAGATGGAAGGTACGCCTAAAACAAAATCCGACAGTTTCTATCAAAACTAAATAACCAATTCGACAATGAACTTAGACTACGAGATGAGATTTGAGCCTGAAACCTTAATGTTACCTTGTTGGAGAAGAAGTTACGATCGTAGTTATACCAATGTGTCGGATAAACCCATGAATTGCAGACAAAATGTACCCGGCCATGGCCGGGTACATGGTCCAGGGTGAATGTCTTGAGATAGAACTGGCTGTGATGAAAGCACCTGGAACACCCATGGTCTCGACATCCCAATCGAATGTGACTGGAAACACGACTTCTTTCGCCGTTAATGGTGTGAATGTAGTGACCCAATTCTCAAAATATGCTGGCATTCCAAGCTTCCCTCGGTTCCGATTGGCTGAAAACAAGCTTGGTGTAAGTTTAACTCACAAGTCAAAGCACCTGGAACACCCATGGTCTCGACATCCCAATCGAATGTGACTGGAAACACGACTTCTTTCGCCGTTAATGGTGTGAATGTAGTGACCCAATTCTCAAAATATGCTGGCATTCCAAGCTTCCCTCGGTTCCGATTGGCTGAAAACAAGCTTTGGTGTAAGTTTAACTCACAAGTCACAACCCATATCAAAACATTGATGTTTCTTCCTCATGAAAGGTTTAAATAATAAAGGGTCAATCAGACCAGACGTCCTCAAACTATCCTTTCGATTCTAAATTCATCTACAAACTTCATTATATTTTAATCTAGTTCTCTGTATATCTGATATTGTATCAATCAAGTTAACTTTTCAGTCTAGTTATCAATGTAAATGTTAAATTCCGATTCGGATATGAAGAGAAGTGTAATTAAAGCATGAGAGATCTGATGTCAAGGGTGAAAGCCAAACTTTTTTCTTGAATTTTAAATTTTTAGTGTGGAAATGCAATTTTAATGTATTAACTTATAATCTTGCAATTTCTAGAAGGACCATATAGAAAATTTTCTATTTTGACGTGACTAATACTATAGTTTATCTTAAATATTGGTTTTATTAGAACTATAGTAACGCTCTAACTTTTTTATTATTATTATTAGTCTAAGGTAAGTATAAGACATTATTTGTTTAAAAATAACTCTCAACCTTTCGACATTGAACGTTCATACTCTTGGCATCTATGATGCTCAAATCCGAATCTTTAAGGAATAACAACGATTCTTTTATCACTAGGCCTGTAAATGAACTGAACGTTCAACGAACCGTTCATGAACCGTGCGACGGGAAGTTCGTTTATGTGCGTTTATTTATTAAATGAACGAACATGAACAAGATTTTTTGTTCGTTTTGTGAGGCACCTCGCACTTATATTCATTTCCCCTTTTTTTCCCAAACCTTATTGTTCACTAGAGAGTGAAGACTCTCTGAAAGATTCAAAACAAGTTATATTATAGTGCAATGAAGTTTTACAGGTCTGTTTTCATCTCTTTTCTGTTTTATTTGACTAATAGTTGATATGTAAAGTTATTGTGGGTATCTTCACATCTAAAACTCAAGAAAACATAATACTTCTAGAAATAGATGGGAAGATAAAGGTAAAAATCGGAAGTATATGAGCATCAGTAAAAAGAAAAATATATAGAATTTGCCAGAAAAAAAACAAAGGTTTCTATGTAATTTCTGAAAAAGAGTGTAATAGCGGAAAATGATTGTTCATATGTAATCATGGAACACTAAGATAAATGTTATAGCGTTAAATTAAAGTCGTGTGAATCATTTAATATATTTAAAAGATCGATCGAAATATTTGATATCTTCAAACATTTCATCACTGCTAATAAGCTCTTACGCTATTTATCACTGTAGATTTGGTTGATTTGCATTGTCGACTATTTTTCATGAAAGAACAATGGAAGGTAGGGTCTCTAACGTTTATGTTCGTGTTCATTTATGTTCACGTTCGTTTATGTTCGTGTTCGTTTATGGGTCGTTTATTTATTAAATGAACGAACATGAACATATCTTCGTTCGTGTGCGTTCGATTTGTTTACAGGCCTATTTATCACGCAACTTAGAATTTAGTGGCTAAATGTTGGACCTTTAACACACGAGTTTTGGTTCAATTCTCATTTATCACACAGAATCATACTTCTCTTGATTTTTCTTGACCACTAAAATAGAAAAAAAATGAATCGCCTTAAATAATTATAATTTTTTTAATAAGATAAATTAAATAATTATCATAAAAGTAGATTTGTCAAAATTATCTTAAAGTAGTATTGTTAAGTATTCTCAATATTTGACGATAAGCGTTCAATCACCCTTGCAATCCCTC